AACAAAGTATTTCTCAGACAAACCCTCTGGGATACTAAGCCTGGAAGAATTCTCTTTTGCCTTCCTTCCTCCCAACTTTTACCCATCCTCTAGCTTGCAAAGCAAAATGTGTTTCTGGGATCAAAAAGGGGAAGGAGGCTATGGGTGGGGCAAGAAAGGAATATGTGGGGGTCTGCTCTGCAAAGTGATCGGCTGGCCAATGGAAGATGCAGGCAGATTTGGGGTTTCCAGTCCTGTAGTTCTCCTTGTTGGGAGAGCTTGTTTCCACGTGGGGTTTGGCACATGATACTGAACACCCTCCCAAGCTCCTTGACATGTGCGTTCATGTATTTAATGCACATGTGGCAGCCCGACATGGGCTGTGACAGAAACCACCAGTGATCTGTGCAGGAAGTTGCAGTCTTCCATCTCTCCAGGTTGAGGTGAGGATGCAGTTTAAGCTTGCTTTGAGGTCTCACCTATTTTTAATAAGTGTTAGGTCTTGTCTTAAATGTTACTTTGGTCCACTTGTCGTGTACATAACATGCTGAGTAGTCAGACAAGGAGGAGGGAGCTGGCCAGGGTGCAGAGTTAACAAGATATCTCTGCTTGAGAGGGCTCTTGTCCTTTCCCTTAACCATACTTATCTGATGTCTGATGATGAATGCTGAAGGGAAGAGTGGATGTCACCTGGATTTTATCCTGTCACCAGGGTAGCTGTAAGAAACAAAAGGAAGCATATTCTGTTTGAAGAAGAACTATTCCCCATGAAGTAGGGGGGGGGAACAGATCATGCTTATATGAAGCATTGCTTTGCAACTAGTGCACTAGAGCAGGAGAGCAATGGCTGGTCTCTATTTTCTGATTTGTGCGAGGCCACCTTAGGAAGCAACTTCACCCTCCTGAGCCTCAGCCTGTTCACCTTTTAGCAGCAGAGATGCCTCCTTTGTAGGGCATTTGAAATGTGTTAGTAAAGAGTGTGCAATTAAAGGAAAGAATATTACTGTCACAATACTATTCGAGTTACTCAGTTTCTGTCTGGAGAAAGAAGAGATTTTTGTTGACTTTTCTAGCAGATGTGTGGCCAGGTTTTGTCTCAGCAGAAATGGCTGTTGGCTACTGCCTTCAAACACCTACTCACCTACTAGTGGCTCAGTCTGGGGCCCCTCCGTGTTACGTCAGTAGTGTTTGAAATGCAGAGGGTGTCCCTTTGGAAGCTGCCAGGGCTTCCTTTGGATCACATTTTTGTGTGTCACGAAATCACTCTCCTAATGGCCTGACACAGTCTGCCGCCCTGCGGTGTGACAGTCTGGGGCTGTCACAACCTTTCTTCTCCATCTCCATACTGCTATTCTTCCTGCTCCTTTGATCCCTGCTCTTCTCTGCTCCCTTTTTTTCTGTCTCTTTCCCTTGTCCCATTTTGTTATTATTAGTCTTGTCCTTTCAAGCTAGCCTGTTACTTAACCTAATCTTCATCTCCTGCCTCTTTTGCATTGACCCTGTGTCTTCCCATGCAAATTGTAGCATAACTCATAAGGTTCCCTATCTTTGAAGAACCAGAGATGGCCAGCACGCAGCAATCGTGGCCTCTCACATCAGGAACACACAGGTAACTGGTTACTCAGGGAGCCTCAGGACAGTGAGCGGGCAGCAGTCAGTCCAGGGTAAGAGAGGAGAATTACACCTTACCAACAAGGCAAGGTTGGGGCTTTTTCAGAGGGCTGGGGGATCCTCCTCTATGTACTTGTTCATTTGTCCCATGTATGAGTTGGGTGACTTTGAGTCCCTTGCTCCAGTACTGTTTTCTCATTGTCTTCTGAATCTCCTGTCCATCTGTCAGCAAGACTTTGTACCACATGTCTCCCTGTGATCCTGTCACAGATTCCTTTACCATGTGAGTGCAGCTATACATGATCCAAGGCTATAAAATTCTATATGTTGACAGGGTGGTGTTGGGTCATGGGTTGGACTCAGTGGTCTCAGAGGTCTTTTCCAACCTGGTTGATTCTGTGATTCTGTGATATATGGTGATGGATGCTGCTCCACAGTGGTCTCAGGACTGTGTGATTGTGGGATTTGGTGATCCTTTGCTGTCCTAGCAGTAATCTCTGTGCACACAGAGACTAAAAAAGAATTTATGCAAACCAATTTTTTCTTTGAAGCAAAATGCCAGGGAAACTTCAGAAAATATGTCAGAGCCTTCTTTTCTGATTATTATAGTGTATTCTGATGCTCCACCTATTGAGATTTTTCTGATTGTTTTTTACATGATCTCTGTATCTCTACTAAGGGACAAAGCAAGATACAAAAATAATCTCGAACTCATGACTTTCAAAAAGAAGTAAAAGCCTGGAGATCAGCTCAGAAACTCAGGATAGAACATTACACATTAATTTGCAAAGCGGTGTTTGCACTGCATATACGGAACAAACGTATTGCAGCTCAGGGTGGTAATAGATTAATTCTACACAGTTCTGATGCATACACACCTAAAAGCATCACACCCAGCCTGGCACAAAACTTGAATAGCAGTGTCTCTACAAACTGAGAGGAGTTCAGAAAAAAGCAACAAAAATTATCGCGATGGCTTCAGGATTGATTTAGGTGGAAGGATTAGGAGTGCTAAATGTGGGTATGAGATGATGAAGGCGGGGATGCACTAAGAGACTACAAATATTTGGTGGGTGTTAAAGCTAAGATGAGAAGAGCTACTTTGTGTGATTCAAAGGGGTATATCATAAGAAGTGACACAGAAGGAAGTGACAAATTAGTCTGAAAACTACAAAGAACCTTCTGCTGTCAAAACACGTAGTACTTTGTTGTCAGTGAAGTATCTATAGAGGTAGGTAACAGGGCCTGGAGGCAAAATTTGGGAGGCTGTTCTGCATGGAGTCAACTTGCACCAGAAGAGAGGTGAACTGGAGATTACCTGTTCACTTATCTGAGACAGCTTCCCTCTACAACACATTTTGTTTCTTCCACACTGTCAGTTTCTTTTTCACATATTCTGGCAATATGCCAAAGTGTTGACTGGCAGTTATGAGATTATAGATACTGATCAATTCTAGTTACATTTGCAAAAATTAATATTATGGAAAGTTGTGAAGGTTACAGTCATCTGCTTCATTAGCACCATCAAAGAAGCCCTCTAGTGCCACAGACCTTGTAGGGGCTCGTTATCCTTTTACACTTGTGAACTTCTAGACTGACAGAATACAATAATCAAGAAATATTAAAAATATCATCTTTGCGAATGCAGTATTCATTCAACCTGTCCTCTTCTAACCCAACACATCTAATTTGCATATTAATTTATTGCTACATGGTTATGACTTCCCTATTATGTTCCCAGTGAGTGTACAAATTTCAGAAATCTTGTTAACTTAGCCCAATCTTCCAAATGTTTTAGATAAACATTTAATCTAAACACATTAAAATCTGGCCATCACGTGCCTTGCCACACAGTTAAGAAGAACAAAGGTTGCTTGCTTTGTTCTTCCATTGTGCTGCTTCACAAATCTCTTCATTGCCAGAGGCCCAGCTCTTCTCTGCCTGTGGTGTAGCCTCTAGCAGTAGCCCCCATGAGCTCAGGGGTGAGATCTGTGTTACTGTTAACGTCGGGTTTCTTCCCCAAATAAACTTCAGACTGCTTAAATTTTGTTCATCTTCAGCACAGCGGACTGTTTAGATCCAAGGAAGCAGTTCTGGATCAGACCTTTGGGCAGTGCTTGCTAAATATTTCCAGAGGGCATTTTCAGCGAGCATGACACGTGCCTGGGCAGTGCTGTGGGGCTGCAAGTGGGGTGTGGACAAGAACCTGAGATGAGCAGGAGAATGCTCATATTGGCTGCGTGTGCCAGTGGTTTCTGGAGGAGTGAGGCGAGTGAGAGACAGAAGGCACAAGTGTCCTCCAAGGGCCGGTGCAGGGGCGGAAATTTTGGGAACTTTTCTCCTGTTGTTTGCCTGACAACTCATTTATTTCAGTGGCTATTTACTGCTGGAGGGGGACATACATAAGGCCCCTAGCTGTTAATTGCTTCTGCCAAAAGAACACTGTAAATAATCCTGGGAACATTTATGGGGGGATTTGTTTGCCTTTTATCAGTTAGGAGTTTTCTTGAGGGAAAAGAGATTTACATTTTGCTCAAGCCCAGCCATCGCAGGGTCAGATCCTGACTGGACGCTGGCAGAGCCACTTGCAGTAGCTGCAGTCCCTCAGCCCGGTGATCCCCGCTGTGGGCAACCACCGAGGCACTGGGGGGGAGCTCCACCCTAGGCGAGGGTCCTGCACGTCTCCGTGGGGAAAAGAAGCCCTGCATGGGGCTGGTGGCAGCGTGGCAGGTGTAGCTCGTCCTCAGCAGAGGCACTGCCAGCTGTGGGCAATGACAGGCCCTCATCACCATCATTGGCACCACCTGGGGCACCCTCAAACCCGCCCCCAAGGGGGTATTTCAGCTCAGCCTGGGGTTGTCAGTCCTTTTCCGAGCTCTGCTGGGGGTGGTTGTCTGCAGCCCCGTCTCTGAGGGGTGCCATGGGCCTGGCTCCCTCCCTGTGCTGATGAACCCTGTTACCAGCCCCCTACGTTCAGTCTTGTGGGGCTGCACCCCTTGTAAGGCACTGCCTGGCATTTGAACAAGGTATGTGTGTGGCTGGGTACGTGTAGGGCCTGGTTTTGTGTGCCTGGAGTTCCCTAAGGCTGGTGGGAACTGGTGCTGGGCTGGCAATGTGAGTTGGGGAACAAAGGTTGCTGTGGCCTCTGCAGGCCAAACCAGCAGTGTGGGCTTTGGTGCCCTCCTGGAGTGGGTGCAGCTCTCCTTGCTGGCAGACTGTGGGGAGAAAAGCAGCATCTGGCTGTGACCCCTCATGTGCCTCAGAGTGAGGTGGCATCTCCCTGAGGTGGGGAGCTCCCCTGGTCTAGGTGGTGGCATGGGACATGCTGGTGCTGCAGGTACCTCCCCCATGTCTGCATGGCTTGTGTAGCTGTCAGCTGTGCAGCCTGAGAAAATGAAACACTGCATTACCTTGGGGATGACGTGGCATCTTTTTCTTTCCTGATTCTTCCCTTGGCCTGGGGAGACTTTCTTGTTGTTTAGTGGGATCGTCACCTCTTAGGAGTAGCTGGGTGGGTTTCTTGCCTGAGCCACCTCAGGTGGTGATGTCCCCCTGGGAAGTGCCAGTGCTCGAGCTGGGTGATGAACCTGGGGCAGACCTGGCTTGTAAAGCAGCTGTGGGTGATCCTGGTAACAAAACCAGCTGCCTGTGAGGTTGTGCCTGTGCAGGCTGGCTGTTCAAGTTCTTTATTCTCAGTATAAGGAGGCTGTAGCCCAAGACCTTCCCCTGAAGCTGTCCCAGTGCTGGCAGGGTGTGATGGCTCTGAGCTTGTGGGCCTGAAGGGGAGCAGGGCCTGGTGTGACTGGGCCTGTGGAGTTGCTGAATGAGCAGTGAGGGAAAAGTGCTCCATGTATGTCTAGTCTGTGTTTACTTATGAGTAACTGGAAGTAGATTTAAACAAGCAAAGAGTTCATCAGCACTTTCCTAAGACAAGGTCTTAGTTCAGGAGCCAAATGGCTCAGGAAAAATGGATTCAATTGAGTTAATGGGACCAATCATGTTCTTTAGTGTTGTGTTTTCAGTTTGGGATTTTTGAATGTGGAGTTGGTGACTTGCAAGGGGGAATGGGAGTTAAAAGCTCTCACGCTGCATCCTTGTTTAGGTATTTACCCAGCAAATACTGCTGTGCTCAATTTACCTCCTGTGTGTAGTTTCATTTATTGTACTGACTCTGCTTAAGGGGACAGTTGCTCACACAGGTCCCCGTGTGCTGGCACAGAGCCTTGCACTGGCCAACCACAGGAGTTTGTGCTTTGCTGCAATATGTGTAATTATTCAGCTTATGACTCAGTCAGCAGTACTGTATGTGTCAGCATGTAATTCTTTGCTGCCTTAAAGTAATGGTCTTCGACCAGTGGTCCAGGAACTATTTCGAAGGGTTTATGAAAGATAATGAGAAAGATGAGGCTATTGTCATTAGGCTTAAATTCATTATTTGGGGGACCATACGTCTGTTTTTATAGGTCCATGAGTTTAAATAGGATGAGACCCACGGCTCTAACAGCTTTCTTACCTTCTCATAGTCCCTTACATAGTGCAATAGCAACACTTCTTTTTTCACCCAGAGTAACAATTAGCAAGAGTACTAGGTTACACTTTTGTAGAGCAAATTATCACCAGGAAGCTATAATGGTAGCAGTTTAATTGAATTGACGTTTTATGTATTATAAGTGATTATATTTAATGAATTCTATTATGGTATGTATCACCTTGTCTGAGATTTTAGGGGGTAACTGCTACTTTGTGCCAGATGTTGCTGAGAGGAATATTACAAATGGCAATAGTATAAGAAAGGCCATCTCTTTCATGAAGGATTTACATCTAAAATCTAGGTTGTAATACTTTCATTGATACCTGAATTTCATTCTATGCGTTACTTGACAACATCCGCTCCAAAGGTGCAATAAAGTCAATCTAGCTTTAAAAAAAAAGTTGAGATTTAAAAACTGTACATGATCGACAAATATCAGCTTAATTTTTATTTTCTCCTGGTTATTGATCAATAGCCAGATATTCAGGGTAGGTTTTCAGCTGTCCTTCAAGAGTATAATTGCTTTATTCCTGGAGCTGAGTCTTAAAAGTCAAAATACTGTGGGAAGTACTCGTAAAATATAAAAGGTTACTGCTTTCCAGTTGGAGCATAATGTAGAATTTGATGGTATGCTTTTTAAGTTCTATAGTCTTGTCTAAAAAGATCATTTGCCTGGGAAATACTGCTAAAGTTGGGGTTGGTGGGACCATCATCTACACTTTGTGATTTTTCTTCAGAAAATAATCTAATAAATCCTACTCTGAAGAACTGCAATACTTGCTTTTGGATTTCATTTTTTTGTGTGACTCTTGTATATCCAAAAGATATGAGGCCCATGAGCCTTTTCAGCTTTATTTTGTGTGTCCACATTTATCTTAAGTGGCACACAGGCACTGTGATGGCAGATTGCACAGGGGTATTTTTATTAGGAAAGCACAGTAATACGAATAGCTGTAAAATTTGTCTAGACAGAAGAAGAGAGAGACTAAAATAGCAGTGGAACATGGGCAGGAAGGAACAAGATACAAGTGTGTGTGTTGGCAGGGGGAGTACACAGGGCTGCTTATACCTTCAGGGCAAATCATCAGGAGCATGTTACCGCTGGTAAAGGAAAGTCTTGAGGACAGGCAGAGTCCCAGGGGTGAGAACTGTCTGAAAAATGAGGCAGCTGTGGAAAGGTAGTACCAGACTTTTTAAGTAGGGGGTTTTTTGGCAGTTCAAGATACTCATTTTCTTTTGTCTTTCCTCCATGAAATTTCAGTGACATCTTCATAAAATCTTTCAAGTTGTTATAATGAAATTCAACTTTTCTAACGGTTATATTGAAATTTTTGGAATTTATTCCGTGAAAGAGTATGTACAGTAAGGGAAATAGGCATAAATAAATAAATAAAAAAACCCCCAACAAACAAACATGGAAGACTTAGTTTGGTTATGAAAGGTATTTTTTTCTTTAAGTTCAGTGTCCTGGGATCCAATTCACCGCTGCCCTCTATTCATTGTCAAGAGGTGCTTCACAGATGTGATGCCAATGCCCTCATGGGGGGGGCCTTGCTGTTTCAAGCCTGGACTCTGTTGCTGTTGGGTAACAGATAGAATTTTCAAGTATGTTATAAGTGTAGAAGAGGTCAAAGCATTAGAGTAACCCAGAACTGTGGATAGCTGTTGCCTGGCTGCAGAGCAGTATTTCACTTTGCTATCAGAGTAATACTGAGGGAAATCAAAGAGCACTAAAAACTGGGACACTGGGATGATTGGCTTAGGAGTTAATTTTTTTTTTCCAAGCTGAATCAGTAGGGCCAGATTTCAGAGCTTTATTCATGTTCAGTAGTAACCTTCCTTCTCCTGAGTTTATATACAATTAAAAGGATTACTTCTGAGAGCCAGCTCAATGGTATCGAAATCTGGCTTGTACCTCGGCAGAAAAAATGGAGGGAAAGACAGATCATCAAATTCTCTGTGGCTCTAGTAAGAGCAAAGTTTAGAGACACACATAGAGGAAATGATTCCTGATGAGCTGAAATGTAAAATTTTAGTTCAGTACAAGACAGAATTCTGTGGTGATAAGCTGTGGAATTGGATTCTGAGACAAATGGTAAATGCTGGTTGCCTGAAGCTTTTAGTTTGTTTGAAGAACTGCTTAAAGCCATCTTCTGCAGTGTAGTTTCATATATTTATTTTAATTCCTGAAGTGGAGTACAGCTTCAGGAAGGGAGCAGAGGAGTGCAGGGCCCATGTTAGTGTAACCCCAACGCTTGATGCAAATCTTTATGGTACACCCTTTATGGTACTAGGAAGAAGGCAATAGCTTCCTGGTAAATATGCATTTTCCAAATGCTGGGAGTACTATAGGGAATATAGAATAAATTGTCATTTTTTGAATTTCAGAAAATTATGCTTAAATTAGAAGTTTAATACCACTCCTAGAGGGTAAGGATATGTGGAAAAGCATCTATAGCTTAAAGGCTTGCCTACTTCATTGGGTGTGGGCAGAGAAAGTGAGTTCCAAAGCATGTTCTCAAGTGGAAGGTTTGGTATTTGCAACTTAAATCACATGGCATTGTGTGTTTCCTGGGAGGGTGATTCCTGTAACCACCCAACTGTTAACTGTGAGAGTGCAATTAAAAATGTATGCTGTGTTTGTCAGCTGTTTAAACTGCTCAAGCTGGTTACATAAGGTGAAGAAATTCATTACATAAGTTACACCATGAATTGCGAATTGTTTACTTAGTTGTGACAGCCATAGCTTAAGATATTTGTAGGCCGAGAGTTAGTCAGCGAAGACATTTATGAATCATTTTGAATAATGAATAAATTTCAGACTTTATTTGCAGCCTGTTAGCAGACAATTAACAAAGAAAAAAGGATAAAACTTGTCAGAGTTGTATTTAAATTACTCCGTCTGCTCCAGATTACTGACTTAAGCTGAGTAGCTGGGTTTGTACTATTGACTAAATTTGGCAGTTCATATCTTGCTGTAAAATTCCTGAGTCATCTAGACTTTTGAATGTTTTCATGTCTAACTGTATAATTACACTGAGAAAATAGAGTAACTACATTAATAAGGCTTAATTAAAACACGCATATGTACAAATACTCATGTATATACAAATGGAAGTACCGAAACTTCTGTGTTCTCCTGACTGAGCAGCAGACTCAGTAGTACTCTGCTGTGCAAATTCTCTGTAAACTGTGTTTCAAGTCTTTTTTTCCTACATTGGTACAGCATTCAAACAGCCTGGTGATGTGTTAGCAATTTCTCTAATTGTAAAAAATGTTGGTGTCTGAATTTTCTTATTTAACCTCCAGCTTTTGCAATAGAATAGCTTGTTCCAGTTCTGGAAAAAAAAAAAAAGCTATATTAGTACTGAGTGGTTTGCCTCCAACACAGTGTACTGAATTTTCTGCCAGTATGATTTTTTCAGGGGAAATCTTACCTTTATTGCAAAAATAATGTGGAAAACCTTTTTTTTAATATGGACTACCCCTTGAGTCTGTGTTCTTGGGATTTTGTTAACTCCAGGAAAGTCTTATGCTATGGGCTGTTCACTGAAGAACCTTTAGTGTGAGGTGTGAGTAGTGGGAGCCACGTGCTACAATGATAAAGATCTCTGTCCTGTTTTCCTGAGTTGTTGGCTAAATAAACTAATTCTGTGATCCTCTGGCCTGTGGGACAATGTGGGATCTGGCTGTGTCCTTCCTTCCTCACCTCCGGCCCATGAGAACTCATTAGAGGCACCTGAAGGTCACTGGTGCTGACAGTCTGTGGTCTGGCTCAGCTGCTGGCTTAGTTGAGGATTATCAGTTCATGGATACCTGGATCTCCCCTCTCTTCTCTTGGCTGAAGCTTTTGGGGTGATTGACAAATACAGAGATACTGTTGGCTAAAGTATGTTTTCTTGGAAGAAAAGTAATTCTGGGGCTGGAATGGCCACAGCAAGTTAGCTGTGTGTCAGCAGAGCAGCGTGAAGTTGTCCTAATATAAAATCACCTCTAGCTCTGGCTCTGGTCACCTGTTTGATGTATTTCTCATGTAGTTTGGT